CGGCGGTGCATGCTGCAGTGCTGCCAGGCGGTGCCCACTGTTGTGCGGCCTGTTGTGTGGGCTGCTGCCTATGACTGCGCCGCGGTGCCTTGCCGGATGGTGTGACCATAACATAGTCGTACAAGATTACAAAGACTCTTTAGGTTTTGAACAGAAAATAAAAAAGGAGCAAAGGAGAAGAAGAGAAGAAGCACTCGTGGGAGAAGCTTTGAAAGAAGAGAATGGTTGGAGTGCTTAAAACAGCCGCCCCACTCCTTAATTTATATACATGGTTTCCTAATTGTAAAAGAACTTTAATGCTTACAAGGCAATAAAAGATAAGATTAAAATAAAACTAATCCTAGATAAGATAGAATAAAACTTATCCTTATCCTACTAGGAAAGCTGATCCTAATCAATTAAATCTAAGTACATCTCAGGGTGTCCCACAAATACTCTCAATGTGGGGTCCACAGTGTCCTACATATATAATAATATGTTAATACTTAATGTATAATAATACAATAAAGAAATTAGGTTTTAATCGAAATAACTGAAAATTGAACCTTAAATTTTGGTTTCGGTTCGGTTTCCCATTTCAAACTTTGGTTTATTTGGTTTGGTTTTTAACCGAATAGACTGATTTCCTCTAGGAGTGTAGAGATACAGTAGAGTACAGTAGACTGGTGTAGTCCCTCCTTATGTTTTATGTTTTGTTTTTATGTCTTTTATTAGTTGTTGTTAGCTGCTGTTATTATTTTTTCTTTTCTTATTTGGGTGGCAGGGGTATTAGTGTCTTTGTACTACTCTTTAATTTGCTAACATATAAATACTAATAGTGGGGTGGCAGGAACATCATGACTGGACTCCTTTTTTTCTCATTCTCTCTTCTCTTTTTCTTTTCTTCTGTTCTCCTTGTAAGCCCACCAAGGGATGAGGATGGCCTGGATTCAAAATTCTGGAGGAGAATAGTGGTGGTTTGCAGAGCTTGGCGGTTCATGGGGGAGGAGAGAGAAAATGTGGGTCTTCTCCTCCCCCTTAATGGATTTGGGATCTGCTCCTCACAGAGGGCACCTCACATGGACCTCACAGCCCCATCCCACAATGTATTGGGAACATCTCCCAATGAATAATAACACAGAGTATGGGAGATGTTCCCAATACATGGTGAGATGGAGCTGTGAGGTCCGTGTGAGGTGCAATCTGTGAGGAGCAGATCCGGACTCTCCTTAATGGGTTTAATCAACATGGTGTTAATCGGCCCCCATATGGGTATGGGGTCCTATTTATAGTGTTTTGGACTGCATCTTCCAAAATCTTCTTATATTTCATTTTTGCTTATTTTGCCCTTTAATTAATGCACATGTGTTTAATTGCTATTCTGGACTGTTCTCAAATGTTATTATTCTTAGAAGATTCTAGCTCTTGAATTGTTTGTAAATAATTAGTGGATAATTGGTCTGACCCTGTCTGGTTTGACCCGGATTTATGCTGGGGATGCTGGGTTAATAATGTACTTATATAAACCCACTGTCTCACACTCCTCTGTTCTCTTCTTCTCTTTTTCCTTTTCTTTTCTTTGCTGAATTCACGTCAGAACATAGGTCGGCTCTGAACTATTTCAGCTAACTATTATGAAGGAAAGCTAACACTAGATTATTTCTAGTTTCAAATCACCACCAGAAGCATTCCAATGGTAAAATTCAATGAGAAGCGTGATTGGAGCCTTAGAATCACCTTAGGGTTCTCTAAAAATTACTTATATAGATTTGGGAATGGTTCCTTGGATAAATTTGCATTAGATAACTGAATATTTGCTGTGGGAAATAAAAGCTCAGTTATTTGCTTTGAATAAAGAACTGCCTCACTTTTTACCTAATTGAAGCAGTGMTCACAGAAATGATAAAAATGCCAGTGTCAGCCTAAACAAGAAGAAAAATGCTAATAATTCCTCAACTACTRGCTCAACTCTGAAAAATCTTGAGTTGACATTAGTTAGGATCTAATGGACATTTGGATATGTTTGCACCCTAAAAACAAGATGTGCAATGACTGAAGTACTTTGCTAGCTGTAAATTAAAAAAAAAAAAAACAAAATCCAACAGTATGAGACTTCAACACTTATAACACGTGCACTTTCCGAAGGTATATAGAGGGATTGTTTATCATCCCTGTGTATTCTTCCCAGAAGTATTCATTGGACTAGAGGCCTCTTCAGTTTGTTAGTTTTTGTGTTAAGTTCTTTTTCATTCTTCGTCAGCGGTTTCTAAATATTTAGGCAAATATAAATGCTTGATAGATTTTCAAATTTGTCTTGTACTCCTGTCTTCAATTACAATGTAATGCCTATTGTTATACCATTGCTCTACTACGACTGGCTATTGCCAGTGCCCATTAATATGTTATATGTTTTATAGTTGCAGGACATGAAGTTGGAATTAGAGCTCCAACTGTGGAAATGTTCTCATTCATTCGTTTGATCCATGTGTTATTTGACATATTAATTTTGATTTTTCTTTTTCTGAATAACAGCTTGGGCAGGCTCTAAGCACTAGGCAAGATATATTACCAACTGCATACTGCCAAGAGCTTGCTAAGTTGCAGGTACATTTTTTTTCCTCTTAGATGACTGTCAGAGAAAATTACCATCTTCCCATGTGTTCTATAGAATTTTTGTATGTGTGTGTTGTGTTAGTCCTGGATATTTCACAAGGGCAAAAGAGGAAAAAAAGAAATGGTATGCAATACATGTGTGAAAAGGGGGTTATAGAGATGAGAGGAAACACAAAACAATGGCCTTGACCTGAGGCTAAATCCTCTCTATGGCCAACATGCTTGGAAACATACCTATACAAAAGCACCTACTTTACATGAAACTCTAATTCTTTAATGCTGACTTTCCCTTCTTATAACTGGAAAGTTTCTATTTTTCTAGGATGAGATACCCCCATTTCCTACTCGGGTTGCAATTCAGTCTATTGAGTCTCAATTGGGTAGACCTGTTGCACAAATATTTGCTGATATCAGCCCGGAGCCAATTGCAGCAGCATCGTTAGGGCAGGTTTATAAAGGTTAGAGAGCTTGTTATTGTAAATAAGGGAATATTGTGCATTGCTTAGGCTATATCTATGTTGTTATATTATCAGTGTGCTTGTTTTAATCTCTTAAGTGAGTGTTCCCTTTTATTGTTTCAAGTTTGCAGCTCATTTGCATTCTGGGGAGCTTGTAGCTGTTAAAGTACAAAGACCTGGTATGTCACAGTTATTGACACTTGATGCCCTGTTGTTTAATATGATTGGAGGCCAGCTGAAGCGATTTGCTAAGGCTCGGAAGGATCTCTTAGTAGCAGTGAATGAGATGGTGTGTCTACTATTCTTTTCTTGTTTCTTTGTGATGCCATGAAAATTAACCTTAATTACCTATTTGTGATATATATTGCTACTTTTTTTTTGTCAGGAGATATACATTGCTATTTTGTTAAAATTTGTATTTACTTTTGGTTGATGCTGCAAATTCTAACACCTTGAGCATTGCTGACAAGAATAAATGGGGAAGCTTATGCTACAAGGGTATCTAATAATACATGATCATGTTCAATGTAATATGCATTCTGAGCTTATTAATTCTAGGCTCTTTCTAAGATTCTTTTTGGAGTTTCCATTATTTGTAACAATTGTTTATTCACTTGATCTCAATTTACGGTTATCCTTAGTGTTGAGAATGTTTCGGCAAGGGTGTTTCATCATCCTTTTGTATTTGGGCACCCAAGTATGGGCTTTATTGTAATTTTTCCTTCAAAATATAAATAACATGTTTGAGGATGTGAACAGTAAGAAACACACACCTCTTCAATACATTCTTCTTCTCCTTCTTCTCCTCTTTTATCTTCTTGTACAAACTCTAGATCTACAATTCTAGATTTGAAACTTGGTATTAGAGCAGGTAGAGTCTCTTGGGATTACCTTTCCTGCTGAAATATGCCGCAGAAATTCTCTTATAGATTAGCACTGATAGTGTTCATTGGGGAAATGTCGATTCCGGTAAAATTTCATGTCGTTACCCATGGAAGTGGAAATATGTCATGGAAATATTAGGGAAATTAGGGGCATTTTAAACCATTCTCTTGTTTAGTCATTGATTCCTTATTTTTATGGAAAAATACTGCCGTTCTCTAAACGAGTCCTTCAGCATCGCAAACAGCCTCTTCTGTGACCACCTTCTCTATCAAAGCCTTTTCAGCCTCTGGGGCCCCTGATCTATCTAAAGGGCTCTTAGCTTCTTCCGTCATTTATTTCCTCAGACTCAAACTACTTGGCTCAAGGAGTATGTGTTCTTCAAACTGCTCAACCCCGGAAAACTCTTGGGCTGAATAACCTTCCTAACTGGCTCCACCCTTGGACTCAATTCTAAAGGATTTAAATCTCCTGTGCCCTCTGTTATAATCCTTCTTAAAATTCAATTGTTTCCTGCCCAGATTGTCGCCCTCTTTTATGTCCACATGATGATGCAGGAACTGAATGGTCAAAATTGGAATTGTATGATATTTTATGTATTTCTGTATTTTTGGACAGTAGGGGTATTTTTGTCATTTTGCAAATTTCTGTGGGATCCAATGATAGGGTTTTAATTATCTAGGTATAGTTTGTTTATGTTTAAAATTTCAGAGTCATTACATAAGTAGGATTAGAGTTATTGAGTCTTCTTTAAATTGAAATAGGATATGACAGCTTAGTTCGAGTCCTACTAGGATTATTGAGTCTATCAGTTTGACACCTATGACTATTATGAGTCTAACAGTTTGACTCCTTGGATTATTATGAGTTTAGATTCTATAAATATGTATAGGCGTTTTACACAAAGGAAATGAATTATATTGAGTTTTCTTCAGCTTATGCTAGCTATGGTTGAGTGATTCTAGGCACCCTGTGAGTGATTTCAGGTAATATCTCTCTTCTTTCTCTTCTTATTTTCTCTCTTATTCCTACAAGAGGCCATTATAGCCATTGACAGCCATAAAACTCTGATCAAGAAGACCATTCAACATTCTCCAAGGACTAGAACTGAGCTGGTCCTACATCACATGCTCCCCAAAGGGATCACGTGTTGAGCTGCTGATAACAGGCCCAGCCAGTTGTTGTTGCTCTTCTTTCTCGCGAAACACCTGTTCGCCTTCCTCTTCTCCCTTTCCAATCTCCCTATTCTTGATATCAGCATTACAAGAACCTTTTTTCGAATAAACACCATAGGATTTATTCAGTCTCGAGCTTTACACTCAACATCTCTTCACTCTCTCCCTTCTTCCCCAAGCCTTCCAATCTGCTTGTGCCATGTGGATTACACCAAACCCTACCTGCATCATCTTCAACCTCTTGTCTCCCATACCACAGGGACGCTTCAGTTTCTGATGTCATCCAGAGCTTCCACCATCTCCCTTCAGCGAAGAGATTGATTGTGCAGGGAATCCTATCCAGTTTAGTTCCTCCAACTATAATCTTCACTGCATGAAGGTCAGCAGTGTAAATGTCTTCCAACACTCCACCACGTGCAACTTCTAACTTATCGAAGACATGATCCGTCTACAAGTTGAATAGCAGCCCAAAAATCTTCAAGATCACACTCCCTTCAGGTACTGAAATTTCATTGCAAGACGGTGTCCAGTTCGCCACCGTCACCAAGCCTTTTGACGTTTCAACATTCATGAACTATGCCTTTGATTTTCCTAGGTTCAGAGCTACTTTACAGTCATCAAAAGGAATAATCACAGCCAAATCTGGATTTGAAATTATAATCGTAACATCGTTAAGAATTCTCTTCCAATCACTTACCTTCTTCTTTGCTGTCACTGTCAATATTTTGCTCCAATCTTCCTCGCCTCCTCCCAACGCAAAATTAGGAGCGCCACCAGCTCCTTCAAGCATCACCTCTTGATTCCTATTGACCTTCTGTATCCTGAAACTTCTTCTCTACCCCTATTCCCTTTAATTTTTCTTTTTTCAGCTAATACCTTTCTTCGTACTCCGGCAGCACCTCAACAACTGCAACCCATCTTGTCTATTTCTTCCTTCTCGCAAACAAATAGTCTGCCTCCTGCCATCTTCCATCTCTTTGTCTAACCTCAAAACACACCCTTTGTTATTGACTTTTTTATCAATTGAGAAGAGCTTCTGATCCCTTCTCAAGTCACTTCTCTAGCTTGGTCTGGTCACCGTATTGATTGCTTCCTCCACAAATCCTTTAATCCAACCTGCAATGACTTGGGACAGGAAAACCGTGGCCCTCCCTTCCTCTTCATGCATCAAAATGTCTCCCCCTTTAAATTCCTCTACCAGAAAACTCTTTTTCTTGACGCAGTGGAGAGGTAAGAGGGAAAAGATGCACAAAAAGGAGGAAGGAAGAATGGAAGGATACTGAAGGGGGTGAAGTCAGGAATATAGAGGTCTGCAACTCGGGAGGAGAGTGAAGGAGAGAGCAGTAGTATTGACGCTACTGATAATGTGTTAAGAATTGAAGTCCAAGTTGGCAGACTTGGAGTGGACTTAGGATGGAGGGGACTGGTGAACAAGGGGATGAAGATGGGTCGGGGATGACGAAGGTCAGAGTTCCAGGTAAGTTCCATTTTCCAAATTGTTCACATTTCATTTTTTTTTTCAAGACAAAAGTATGGTCTGATTGGCATTGGTCCTACAAACAAGTTTAAGAAAGTTTATAGGAAGATAGGTTCTAGTGTCAGAGGCCTAAAGAAGAAGCTTGATGAGAAAGGGGTATTGAGACTCAAACTAGAGAGGGGGAGGAGCTGCATCGGTGTTCTGTTCCTAAGGATGGTGTGGCGATTAGGTCGGAAGCGGAAGAAAAGTAGCTTAGGGGGGATCGAGAAAGCAAGATGCCTCTAAATGATTCATTAACAGTCAGGGTGGAGAAGGGAGGAAGGATGGAGATTGAGAGTTTGGTAGAAAGGGGTTTTAGGATTGAAAAGAGTTTAGGCTTATTTTTCTTAGGTGGACTGGAGTTCGCTAGAAGGGCTTTTGAAGGTTTTGAAGAAGCAAGAGAGGAAAGAGTCTCAAGAAGTCTGTTATTGGCGTTGGTGGAGAGGCATTGAATGAGGATGGGGATGAACAAGATGAAGCGTTTGAAGCTGAAGATTAAGTTCTTTCTTGGTTGGGGGGCTTCTTTCTGCTTTATTTTTGAGTTGTAAGATTGAAGGGCTTTTGAAGCTTTTGAAGAAGTAAGAGAGAAAAGTCTCAAGAAGTCTGTTATTGGCGAAGGTGGAGAGGCATTGAATGAGGATGGGGATGGACAAGATGACGCGCTTGAAGATGAAGATTAAGTTGTTTCTTGGTCGGGGCCTTGGGGGGCTTCTTTCTGCTTTATTTTGAGTTGTAAGATTGAATTGCTCTGCTAATCATTGGGTTGGGTGTTATTGTAACACCTATTCTGCTGTTTGTAAGCTGCTCTTTTTATTTTAATGATTTTTTTTACCACAGAAAAACTAAGTTTGCTCAGTTTTTGCGCATGTCTTATGTTAGCGTAGGGTATTTCTATCTTTTTACCTAGATTAATGTTGCTGATCTGTAATGTTGTGTTGGAACCARTGCTCCTRACTTAAATAARGGCACATATGTCTTTTCAATCAGTTTTAATAATATAAGTTTTGTCTGGCCGACTGGGAGAAGGTTATGTTGACTTCCAATTCGAACCAGAATTTCCCCTTCTCTCTCTCTCTTTCTTCCACCTTTCTACCTCTTTC